CAGTGAGATGACAACACCTAAACCCTCTTGCACTGCAAACACCCAAAGGCTTCACGGTTCACAATTCCTCTTCTTTCAGTTCCTTCATATTTTTTCTCCATTAGAGATGCTAAGCCACATTTTTAAATTGAGACAATAATTTTAAATTAGGAGAGACAAAGACCATAAGAGAAAGTCATGCCTGATGAAAAGTGCTGTAATTCTTCATAGCTACTTTTGAATTACATATGCACAGGGAATTCCTTTTGCATCAAACACATTCTCCAGGCTATTCAGCTTTTCTCTAAAAGGTGTTTCAGCTTTAAAAAAGGTTGATACAAAAAGCTGGTCCTGTTTCAAGAAGTAACATTTTTCCCTGCCTAGTGGCTCAACAGTTGCAATAATCAGAGATCATTCCTGAACCCCAATCTTCAGATCTGTTTGCCAGCTTGGTCCCCTCTCATTCAGCAACCCACTGTGCTTTTCAGGGAATGCTGCTGTCCCTGGGGCCTCAAACAGCACAGTGTCACTAAATGGTACAGTCAGCATCCTTCTACTCACACAGGACAAAGAAATCAAATAAAATCAAGGTACCCCTCAGAGTGCTGAAAACATCCCTCTTTGTGATTCTTGCTTCCATTTGTCTTAGGCTGTGAATGTTCCTATTAGCCAAATGTACTCAAGTTTGACAAAGTCATTTCATCTCCTGTTAATGAACAACTTTTCTGTCGAGAGATTAAGAGAATAAATCAATGCCAAAAGGCAGTTAATTGTTCAGTAGCAGGAGGCTGTTTGTAGCTTTTGTTAGCTGTCATAGTACTGAGCCAGCACTCAACGGGCAGTGAAATCTACATTTTAGCACAGAATTAGGTCCAAATTTAAACTATTTAAGCCACAGCATTTTTCCTATAATGTAAGGATTTAAAAATATCTCAAAATCAGCAAGAACTAGGGAGAGACTGTTCAGGTATCAGAGTCACATAATATATATCCCTCAATCTTCATGTTCCATGCCTAAGGCTGCACAGCTGTGAAGAGAAATAGAATAAAAATTTTCTACATCATGATCAACAGTAAAACAAAGAAAACTGTTCAGTGGGAAATCAAAGAACAAAATGACCCTGATCTGATTTGCCTCTTGGATATTTCCAAAATGCAGTTTAATTCCTGAAATATTCTGCTATCCTTTCATTTCTCAGTGCTACGTACACAAAGTATTTTTCAAGCAGCAGAACTCACAAGCCAGCTCTCTCAGACAAAACCTAAGAACAGGTTTAATGTGGTGTTGTTATAAACATGTTTCAGCCACACATAATAAGTTCTTGTGGTCTGTAAGAGATCTGATGTTCCTCTATGCAATCACTTTCTCATTGTTCATGTCTTGAACTGTATAGATAAGCATATGCATTTGCATAAACACACCTGCTCATTACCCAACATTAATTAATGCTTTAAAGAAAGATTTTGGGGTGGGGATGTTAAGAGCATTACTTTCAGCCACAGATTGTGTTGAACTGATGTTAACAAGCATTAAGTGAAGTAGGAGCAAAAAAGTAAGAATTAACAAATTACTTAAGAAATGTAGTTTGTACACAAAGGAGGAAAAGAAATATAGAAACTTGTATTTAGTAGTTGAAAACTCAAAAAAACCTGCATTAAAATTAATTTTTCCATTTCCTAAGTGAAAGGAAGTCAGGTTCTCTATTTAAAATCCAGGGCTTTCAAACCAAATACCAGTTGTCCCTACTAAGCTCCCTCTTCTGGCTAATTAATAAACTTGCTTAGACTTTGTATGCAGAAGTTTCAATCTTCCCAGTTCTGTTTTATCAAAAAAACACTCAATTCTTTTTAAAAAATTAGTAAATAAAGGCTGATGTTGAAATATACAATTTTTCAGCTTCAGACAGAGTCCTCTTTTTGTCTCTGACAAGTTCCACAAAGGAAATAAACACAAGAAAATAAACACCCCTGTACTGTGTAGGGACACTCTACCATCTGCACCTCCTCTCAGCTTCTGAACATCATTGCCTATTTTCTGGTATCAGATAGTCTTGAAATGCCTGTGTTCAAAATATACCACACTGGTTAATTCATTCCCTAAAGTGCACCCTTCCTTGTTCTGGCTAAAACTAGCATTAAGTATGTAATAAAAATACAAATACGCCTTCTAGAAATTGTAGATGTTGAAAATGAGGAAAACAGAACCACAGAATAAACTAGGTTGGAAAAGACCTTGGAGAACATCGAGTCCAACCTGTGACCTAGCATCACCTTACAGCCAAACCATGGCACTGAGTGCCTCATCAAGTCTTTTTTTAAAAACCTCCAGGGACAGTGACAAAACCACCTCCCTGGGAACCCATTCTGAACCACTCCTTCTGTGAAGATTTTTTTTTTAATACCTAGCCTAAACTAGAAGCAGCCAGTCCTCAACTAACACAAATTCAGGAGACAGAACAAAGACAGAGGGGCAGTGAATGGCCTCAGTGCCTTAAGGCAGCAGTCACCATCATTGTGGAGCTGCCAAATAAGTAACAGACTCTGGTAAAAATTTTCTCTTCTAAAATCTAGGGAAATTGCAGATGATTTGTGGAACTAACAATTCAAGGTGAAAGGGAAGTACTATGTAGAAAGGTGTGAACATCACAACTGCAGTGGAATGAACACACAGAGGATAAAAAAATAATTCATTCAGCTGTGGGTTTTCATTATTCCAGTTACTGTAGTAGCATCATTGCTCCTTTCTGAAAGCCAAGCCACACTCCCAGCCAAGCCAATTTTATGACACTTCTACCACAACTGTCCCAATGAAGGCAGGCAGCACAGTCAAACTCCAACCTCTACAAATCATTTCTGCTCAACATCTTTATGACCTTCAATCCAGCTAATGAAAGGCCTTGAAGGGAAATTCATTTCATGTTTATATTTGCTACTGTACCTTCAGCCCAAGTGAAATCAAAAATCTGTTTGTACATACAAAGTCTTACAAGAACCACAACAAAAGATTGCAAAGACAGCCTCTGAAGCAAAACACTGAGGGATGATCCTAAAAAAAACCCAACACCAAATCTTTAAATGTTAAGAAACCAGAGACAAGGTTCCAAATGGGATTATGAGGGTTTGAGAGAAAAGGGGGAAGTGTGTGATGCACTGACAAACTGAAGATACCACTGTGAAAAGATAAAAGGGAAGATACAAGCAGTGACTGTGGCTGAGCTTTATTCAGGACAGGATGCCTGCAAAAGCTATGTTGACTCTTCCACTGCCAACTGATAGTAACTTTTAAAGTATATAAACATTTTGTATCACAGAGAAAGCTATCCATTACACACTGAAGGAATAAAACAAGAACAGATACTATGTCATCACAGCAACTTCATTTAAATCTTCCAGTACTTTTTCCATCAATGAGGCTCAAAATGTTCTGTAGAAGTGACTCCTTACTTTTTGTAAAACAAGAATAAACAAAGAAATAGAGCTTGCTTAAGGTCAGGTGGACATTTAATAGCAGAACTAGAATTGAAACTGAGTTACTTCATGTTTTTAAGTTCACTGATATGGTCCACCTGGAAAAAACAGTCTCATTTTTTTATTATGTTTTATTAAGAATGTTTTAAGGTTTCTTAGTACTGCATCAATACATAAGTATATTATGTCTGTATTTAACTGGCTGTTATCAATGCCTTCATTTGACACACATAGCCTTTTTAAGCTCATAAATCTTTTGCATCTCATCTTCTATTTTGATCCACAAGTCTTTTCCACTGAACATTTCAAAGGTAGCTACACTTCTGTGACTGGCATTTTGAAAGTATTCTTTTATGATACCCTTTCACAACTTTTCATCTAAGTCAGAAGTGTATTAAATCACTACCAAACTTCCTTGAACCAGGATACAAAACTGAGAACAAGCACTCTGGCTTTTACACTACTTAGCCACCTGCAGCAAACCAACCTGGACAATTAAGAGTTTAATGACAGTAATGATATTTTTTACTTTGTTTAAACAGATCCTTCACACAAAATCTTTCATGACATGCAGTAATATAAACCAGATAATGACCAAAGAAAATCCCACAAAAAAAAAACCACTCAACAACACAACTTAGAAGTTATAAATCATCTCCCCAACAAAGGGGTTTTTTCTAATGTGGACTCATTCCAGTCTTAGGGAAGAATATGAAGAAGCTTTTCTAGAGGCTAATAAACAACTGCAAATGAAAATACAATAATTAAGAGTGATCTGCTTTGAAATAGAAGAAAACTTTGATAGTTTGGAGCCCAGTTTGTGCAGAGCACCATGCTTGCCACCTGCTCTGAGGAGAGGAACCTGGGTGATGAGTCTGCTCTTAAACTGCACCTTTAGCTAAAGTGGCTCATAAGGATGCATGAGGGATTGACAGGAGAAATGGAATCTGGAGCAGATGCTGTTAAAATCAATTAGCATGCAAAGGGCTGGTTCTGGACTAGCCAAGGCCAGGCAGCTACTGGAGCAATCAATGGCAGCTGGTGGGAAGCAAGCCCAGGAAGAAGAGGCAACCAACATAATTTACTCTTTACAAATGTTTCTTTACATAGTCAGGTCTTACTGAGAATGCCAAGACACAGATTTCTTCAAATGTTTGTCTAAAATGTACTACACACAAACACTCTTTAAGTAGTATTTTGAAAGGCCTTATCATTCTAATGAATTAATAAGAATCTACCTCTCAAAATTCTGGAACCATATGTTCCTGGATGCTGATGAATACTGACTACATTAAACATTAAAACAGATGTCTTGTCTTCACAACCCAGGAACCATGCTGTGTTAAAACAGTAAAATAGTAGCATACTCCCATTGGGGAACAGTATGCTTACACAGAAAACTGTTTAATACCCAACAGGTAACTCAAGTCAAACAACTTTTAAACAGAAAATATATTATTATCTGGAGCTTTTAGCAAAACCAGACTTTAGTACAGACATACATGCATTCTTTTACAATGGGTGCTACATATGTGACACAGGAGTTCCTCCTTTCACAAAGGAACAATAATACACAGAAGACAAATACACTTCCTTACCTTTGGCCATTTGGGGTTCAGGAGTCGTGCCTTGATGGCATCATCCAAGGCCTTGTCATACTGGTGGATTTTCATGTAGGCTGCAGAACGGTTGCTGTAGAGGATGCAGTTCTGGGGGTCCACCCCCAGGGCCTCGTTGTAGAGCACGATGGCTGTGTGGAAGTCGCCCTCATGGCAAGCCTGGTTGCTCTGCCGAACCTTCTCCACAAATTCAGCTTTGCTCAACATGGGACTGTCAGGACTTTTTCTTCTGAAGGATTTTGACCCACAGAAGGAAATCTGGGAGAGGGGAAAGGGAGAAATTATATGTTAGTGTTAAGAAATGCTACTCAAAAAGGAAAAAAAAAAAAAAAGATTAAACTATTAGAAACTGTACAGCAAAAATTAAAGCCAGCAGGATCACAGCAAAACAAATGATGAATTCAGAACCAGGTTCTTAAAAAAGTAAATTGTTTATCTATTGAATCTCTTTTTGAGGGTACAGGAGTACCAGAAAGAATCTTGCAAAATATATCATTCCCTATGAATTAGGTCTTCTAGACACGAGAACAACTGCAGTCTGTTTATATATGCTGCACTCCACACACTTAGAAGTGCTCTTCTCAGCCAAGCTATTTGATTCTACAGCACTAAGCAGAGCTGCCAGGTAGAGAACAGGTGGCAGCTGTGAATATGAAGATGATGCTGCTACATCTGAATTTTGAGCTGCAGATCACAGGCAGACAACGGAAAAATGTGTAGAATCTCTTCAAACCAAAGTACCTGCACTGCAACCTCTATTCACAAACCTCTACATCCAGTGACAGGCAGCTGCAAATTGTTCATATTTGGGAAGGAAAGGAGGAGTTTTTAGAACCACGTACACTCACAGAAGTAAGTGGGACATAAAATTTATTTTAACAACGGAACAGTCATCCTTGGCAGAGGCTTCCCACATTGACAACTCTAGGTAATACAAATAAAAATATTTAAGTTTTCTAATTATAAGACATTTTTTAAAGTGAGCTGTAGAAAATCCTAGTTCCATTGATTGTGGTACAATTTTTCTCCTTACTTAACTTTCTACATTTCACATTTTCCTCAACCATCCCTTTGCAGTCAGAAACTGTTTCTGTCATGCAAACCCTACTCTCCCCCAAGGGTACTCAAGAACTCAATAAGAACATCTTAGTCCAACTCTCATCACAAGGCAGTTGGGAGTTGTGCAGTAACAGTATTTGGCAACAGGCAATACAATACATATGGTAACATACAAAGTACTTCAAAATATTAATTAAAGGCTTAGACTACTATAATTAAGATTGGTGTCATCTAGTTTTAGTCCTGCAGATTGAAAAAGTTTAAGAATATCACATATTGTTGCCACAACACAACAACCACAGTGCTTAAATACATTACCAGAGCCAGCTGGGGAATATTTTTAAAGGTGGAAAGGGAAGCAAGCTGCAAACTGACATCCTGTCACAAGGATCAATTGGTCTATAGACTTTTCTTTTTGTTTTTTCTTTTCTTCCTTAAGTCAAATAGCAACAATAGAAAAACATTAAGTGAGAAACTACTGATTTCTTATTTTTCTGATTATATCCATTCTTTTCTGACAGTGTTTGTGTTTGTCCAAACTTTTTCTAAACTTCTCTATTGAAGGAGATTCTATGCTTTACTCAGGCAATCTCCTTACACTGCTTCAAGATTTTCATCATTAAAATATTATTCCTAATACCCAAATCTCCTTTGTGCCAGTAAATGTACTGTTTCTTGTCCTGTAGTAGACTGAGTAGACTGAACCAAAACCTCTTTTCCTTTCATCTGTGAGGTTATTTTTCTATAGTATTCTTGCTAATGCCAGCACTGAACACATTGCTTCATTCAAGCAGTGCAATAACTCACACCTCTGTGAGCATCTGACAATAAACTTCATCCCATGGACAGTTTGCTGTGACCTGAGGGCAAGAACTGAATATGAAGATTCAGCAGCTATTACATGGGCACGTATCCAAACACAAAGGTGAGGAAACCTTGAAAAAGGTAATTAGTCACCAGAAGGCTTGGAGGTACTCCTGGAAAGGGGGCTGGTGAGAACCCAAGAGCCAGGGGCAGCAGTTTCTTCATGTGTCTTTAAAGGTGGCTGCTGCCTCCCTCCCTATTTCCTGGTCATTGACCTGCATCAAGGACAATGAAAAATACCAAATGTCATGTATTTCCCACGCTTTTATCACATCCAGAGTGAACGACTGCAGCTTCCACAAGCAGTACCACAACGAGCCATGAACTTAAGTTATTCAGAAGATAAATATTTCAAGAAATAGATTCCTCACCAGCTGTGGCCATAACTGCCTCCAGCAGGAAGCCTGGCCTGGTGTGAAGGCACAGCCAGCCCCACCCTGGAGAGCTCAGGAGCAGCAGGGACATCTCAGCCACCCCTCTCTGCCTGCCCACAGGGACTCTGCTGCTCAGGCAGCTGCAGCTGCAAGCCCAGGACCACCAAGAGCTACTGAGCCCTCAGCAGTGGGGCCTCAAAGCACCCAGCACAACCTCAAGGAGCACCAGTGAGACAAGTCCAACAACAGCTGGCTTTTCTGGCAGTTTATTATGCACAAACAAATGCACGCACCAAGCTGTTAATGATCCTTCCAGAATCATACTGTGAGTCTGTAACAACAAGGAGAATCCATGAGGACACATCCTCTCGGTCCAAGTGAAGTGGTTTCTGCCTCTAAGATCCTGTGACGCTAAACAATCTCATGAAAAAAAAAAAAAAAAAAAAAAAAAAAAAAAAAAAAGAAAAAAAAAAAAAAAAAAATAAAAAAAAAAAAAAAAAAAAAAAGGAAACTATGATTTGTGGAATATGTTACTGTTTAATTCCTGCTATCATGAGAACTACGTAAGGCAGTAAAACATCATGAGGTAAAAGAAAAAACCCTGAAACAGTAAATCTGAGTCACTCTGGCACTCAAGCCACAAATAAAAAAAGATTATGATTATGGTACCAACTCACAAAAAGTACTCATTAGAAAGTCATCCCCTCTCCAGTCACCACTCCTCCTCTCCTCTCCTGTAAACACAGTGGAAGGTGATAGTAATGTACATATTTGGGCTGCCTAACATTTTGCTACAGAAGGTGCTTGCTAAAAAAGTAGTTTATTAGTGCAGCAGAACAAACAGGGTTATAATAAAGTGCAGAAGAGGATCTAGTGAGAAAATCTGAGTTAGAACCTCATATATTTCTCATAAAGTACAAGATGGCACGAGCTTCTCAACACTACTTCTCCAAACCAGCATAAGACAGCAGAAATCAGCTCTTACTGTCATGTCAGACAGAAGCTTCCACAATATCTGCTTCAGATCAGACTCAGCAACAAATTTCCTTCAAAAGTGAGAAAGTCACCTCTGGGAGAAGCTGCTCAGGATTCAACCCTGCTGGCCATGCAAGTGGAGTGTTAAAACACACACAACCCTCCTTGGTCTTTATCAAGATGAAATGAACTCCCAACCATCCCCAAAGCAAACATGAACTTGAATATACAGCAAAATTTATATTACAAGAATTTTTGTCTTCACTGATCAAGCTTGTTAAACTTAGTCCTCTCTACAGAACATTCATCAAATAAAAGAAGTGCCCATACACACTGAAAAACTGTGTCTGAACAGCATACTGCTGTCCAGAAAGCCACAGGGAACAGATTCCCAGTGAGTTTCCAGTACGACAAGTGAGAAGAGATAACAGCAAATCCACATTCTGCTCCAAGAGGACTAAAGAATCAACGTGATACAAAAGTAAACGTTTTATCAAAACAACAATGTTACACCTCAGAGCTTGTTGGTTTGTATGTAATTCCTCTTATTTAATCCTACATAATGCAAATAATTTATTTGATTTGATGATGTCTTGGGTGGCAAGTCCATAGCTAAGACACTTTTTAAAAAAAAATCCTTATAATTTTCCAAAAAATATACTGTAAATATGATATGTATCATTTTCATTTTTAAAATTATCTAATTGGCTCAAGATATTTATTGAAGTTTTAGGAAGAGGAAAAAAGCAAAAAGAGGCAAGCAGAAAAATTGGCATTCCTAATGGATTCTGAAAAAAAGTGACAGTAACTTAGGCTAAATATAGGTTTCCAAAATCAGCTTAAATCTGTAACTGAGCTTCCCTTTCTAGGAAAACCTCTACACAACTTATATTTTAATCTGTAAAATCGTTTTATGGTTTCTCTCCATATCCTGGGGTATTACTATTTTTCTGCAATAGAAATTGGCTTCAACAAGAGCCCAAGAACAAATAAAGCACATGAAGTTTGTCCCTGAAACCTCCCAGCAGCCAGCACTTCAGCCAGGCTGTACCACACTCCTGAAGAGATATCAAACCCTGCACACCACATGCAACCTATCCCTGAACAGAGTGGAATTTAAACAGAAATAGTGTGGAAAGAAACGGAAGAGCACCAAAAGTGGAGCTTTAAGCCACCGCAGGATGATAAGAACTTATCAACAGGAAGGAAACAGATTTTTTTCTTAACTGGAGCTTATTAAAAACAAAATTTTCTATAGAAAATTGTTTTACCTGAAAAAAAATTTTTAAATGCAAAAAAGTTGTGAGCTTCTGTGAGTTTGGAGAGATCTGCACTTGTTACAGCAGTTAGATCCACCCTAATTAAAGGCATGCTACATGTTGCTAAAAATTATGAATAACAACTATGCAATCCATAATTAAATTTCAACAGTACTTTTTGGTTCATACATACTTTTTAAGCTAGTTATTGTTAACAATAGTTTTATATCTATATATATATATAGATATATATATATATAATTAAATCACAAACGATCAATAAAGAAACAGACCTTTCCCTCTGATCTGTCTGTGAGCCAGAGGGAAGACAGAGGCAGCAACTAGAGAGTGATGGACCAGTAATTCAGCAAAAGCCAGGCACGAACAGTAACCTCACTCGAGGAACACCTGTTAGGGCACATGAAAGGCACATCCACTCATCCATTTAGGAATTTATCCATTTCAAAGAGCCTATAAAAGGCTCCATTAGGACCTGAAGAGCTCTTGTTTCACACCAGAAGAAAGCGCAGGGGAAATATTCTCTAAGACTGTGAAAACCTCCAAGAAAAAGGTAAGACACTCTAATTACGAACAACTCCAGAAGGGGAAGGACAAGGAGGCATAGGCACTCAGCTCTCTGGATTTCAACCCTGTTCACTGGCGGCAGCAGGGGCATCCCTATGGCTGCAGCACCAGGCTGCGGGAGCGCAGGCTGCTGCCCGGGCTGACATCGCTGATCGCCAGCCTGCGCTCAGCACGGGCACAGCCACGCTGCGACATCGGTGTCACCCAGCACGTCCGGTCCCCAGGTTCTCAGTTCTGCCAGTAACAAAGCCCTGATAACCAAGCTCGTAACGACTTTCTGCACCAGGGCAGCAGGGCACGGAGCTCTGCGCTGCTGCCAGGTACACCTGACACGCTTTACCTTCGAACTTTGCGGGTTTTAACGAGATTCGAGTTTGTTTACGGGGGCGCCAGAGCGAGCACAATGCCCATGCCGACATCCGAGCTCTCTGCTCGCGAGGGTCCCGCTCCAGCTAGCGGCGGCCGGCGGTGCTCGGGCACACAGCCCCGCTCCGGGGCCAGGCCCGGGCCCTCCGCCGCCCCGCCGGGCTCGGGGCTCCCAGGCAGCGGGGCACGCCAAGGTGCCCAGGGCGAAGGGAGCCGAGCGCTCGGCCTGGCGCCCCCGGAGCTGCCCCACCGCCGCCCGGCCCCTCACCGCGCCGCGGGCCAGCGGGCCTGCGCCCCCGCCGAGCCGCGTCCCGCTCCGTGCCGGGACAGCCCCGCAGCTTCCCCCGCCCGGCCCGGCCCCGCGGCTCCTTCCCGCCTCCCCGGCCGCTCCGGCGCTGCCCGTCCGGCGCCAACCCACCCGGGCAGGCTCCGCGTCCTGCTCCCGCCGAGCCCGGCCCACCGCCACGGCCCCCGGCGGGGGCGGCGGCGCCTGTTGCTCCATCGCGCTCCTGCTCCTCCTCCTCCTCCTCCTGCGGGGGCCGCCGCCGCCCCCGCCCGGCCGATCCCACCCGGCCCCCGGCGCCACGTTCGGGGCCCGGCTGAGCGGGACCCGCAGTGCCCCGGCCCCGCCCCGGGGCTGGGCTCCGCCCGGACCCCGGGCACCCCCGCCCGGCGGCGCCGGACGTCCTGCGGCTGCCGCCCGGCTCCCCGGCTCCGCTCCGGCGGGAGCAGCGCTCGCCTCTCCGCGAGCACCGACGGGCTCCGTCCTCACGTCGCTCTGCTGCTGCCGCCACACGGGTGGGGGGCCAGAAGCAGCGGGGCCCGCATGGCACCGCAGGTGGTGATGCTGGTCACTAATGACACCTGGCCAGGCACGGCGAGCCTCAGCGCTTTGGTTAACCCAAGTTGTCCAACTGTGTGACCCATCCTGTCTCTTAAATGAACACAATGGATTATGCTGAAGATTCCTGTGCTGCGGATAATAAGCGGTAAAGAAATAGTTTCTTATCTACGTGAAAATTGGATGCCACTTCACCTCAGTGAAACTTCCTCTTCCATAGAAAAAACTGAGTCAGCAACTTCAGAAAGCTTTCTACAATCAAATGATGAACACATCGCCAACAGCCCAAAGGTTTGCCATTGAATGAGTGAGATCAAATTTAGGACATAATTGGAAAGCAAGTGTTAGTCAGGACCCAGGGAAAGGACCCAAGCAAAGCAGTTACTGATTATCTAACAACTGCGGGATGTAAAAAAGATGGAGGAATAAATTATGGAAGTTTTCTATTTCTATCTAAAAACAAATGGACAGTGTAAGTAGGAGCTAGGGAATTACCTTCTCATCAGCAATGATGCAGGTCTTTTAAAAGTTAACTGGTAACCAAAGCCCAAAGGTATCAGCTTTTGCAGTATACCAGGAAACAAATCTGGCCCAAACACACTACATCCTGTGATTCTTACATATAGCAAATAGCAGCTGAGTGTTCCCTTCTACTTCAAATGAGCTACAGTGAGCACCAGAACTCCCTGAGGATGTGCCAGTGACAGATTTGCACCAAAGGGCACATCCCAGAGGACAGACACACCTTTGTTCCATCAGCCCAGTGTATCTGGAATGGACTGGAACCAGTGGTGTTCTTTCCATCCAGATGCCCATGGATGTTTCTCCATTCAATCCATTAAGAAAGGTATCAATGTATCAGCATTTTATCATTAACATTGGTTAATATCAGATAAATGAAAACACAGAAGATCTCTGCAATGGGCACATACAGGAAATGTGACTCATGAATATCTTAATTTCTACCTGACATGGGTTTATTCCATAATGCATTAGGTTTTATTCTTTACAAATCAACAGAGTAGATACCTTTAACGAGAAGATGCATGTAGGAGAACAGTTACTAAACTGTTCTTTCAATCAGTAATGAAATTAATAATCCTTTAGTAAGAGGCACACAGTTCAAAGCTTTCACCTAGCAGGCAAGTTTTTCTTTCTCAGTTCAATTCCCAGCTCCTCCCTGACAGGAATTTATACATATTCATTTCATCTCTTGTTATCATGTTTCCTCTTGCTCATCTCTCCTCTGGGAAAAAAACATGGTACACACAAATGTTAAACCACCATGCGGATGGTGATCATTGCTTTGGAAGCCAGTCAGCCTCACCCCAGTGCACAATGCTGTAATTCTCCCAGTCCAGCATTTACTGTGGAGCTTCACCTGAAGCCCAGAGCACCTCAAGGTCCATCAGAAGTTTCACATCTGAACTGAACAGTCTAAGTGTCCTCAGAAGTCTGTGGGCAGCATTGTGTCAGGTAATGCTGTGTCTCAGGCAAAAGCTCAGCAAGTTTAGTGTTCCTTCTTCATCTCTTAGGACTAAGCATTATTTTCATGCCTAACCTAGAAATTAGAAAAGAAGAAACAAAGAATGTAGGTGGGGATAAAGCTAGCCTAAAAAATTGTTAGGAACTCAGTTCAGGAGTGCTTCTGATACTTTCCTTGAGTCAGACAGCTGGATGGACTAGACCATGACTAGTTGTGCAGATTCTCATGCATGCACAGCAGTCACTTCAGTCTTACAAAGTTATTTTTATTTGAAATTTATACATCTTCAACAGTTTATTCCATTATTAAGATTTTTCTTAATAAAAAATTCTGCTCTCCATAAAAAAGCTGTCATTAACAAAGTCATTTTCTCTTCCTTTTCACCTCATTTTCTGATACGAGGTAGAAGGAACAGCACGCTTAGCAGAGCCATTGTCTTCCTCATTTTCATGGGGACGTTTTCTCATTGTGGTTGGCTGGAAGAAAAACACAGAAGGATGACTCCAGAAAACCAGATAAGGCAGAACCTGACTTTCTGCATGCTCCAGAACTCCAGGTGTTGGACAGTGTGATCAAAAACAAACCCATGTTTCTCTCCCAAGATTTATCTAAATATATTTGTTAGTTCTTATATAAGATATTGCTCCCAGTTTGCAACAGCTACTGTTCACAATTTTCCTAATTAGCATCTGGTGATGAATGGCACAATGCTGTTCTAACCTTGCCCCAGCATGAGAATTTTTGCTTGAATACTAAACATTAGTGCCTTGAATCCATTAAAAACATACATTCAAAAATGTTATTCTAAATATAGGAATAATCCTTTAAAGCCTAGGCAAGTGTTTCTATACATTTAAACAAAGTGTTGACAAAGAATGGAAATCCATTGCTGCTCTTCAGGAAGCAGAACCAGCAGGCTGCCACATACAGCCCAAGGGTAAATTTCTCTAAAATCTAAAATTAACTGATTTTGTTATTAAAGATTACTTCAAAATCTACTTTCTCAGAGCATCAAATTTTACTCTTCAAATATGTACTGCACATACCATTTTTGATGTTTCTGGTGGGTTCATATTGGTAGGTGTCTGAGCAAGTAGCTGTTCAAATGTATTTTTCATATCCTTATCCTGCAAAAAAAACCAAAACACCAGCATCTAAGTAGTATATGGAATATTTAAGGGAAAAGCAAAGATTGAGAAACTCAAAGAGAAGTGAATGGGACATTCACTGCTAAAGACAACTACAAATAAAGATCATTGAAGTCCTAAGGATTTCACCTGTTTTAACTGATTTTTTTTTTAGGTGAAGGCATTGGAGAGGGTTCTTTTCCTAAGCAATGGAGTATTGCAGTATCTCCGTATTTTATTTAAGTATTCTTAAGTGCTACAAAAAGGCTTTGACCTGAATATCCATTTAATTTTATATAGAATTTTGACTTATTTTTCTTTTCCAGTGTCACCTGATTTGATTGTGGCTACATTTGAATTGATGGATAAGGTAAGAAATATTTTTCCATTGGTGTAACAAAGACCTGTGGTTTTTCTTCAGCATGCAACCAAACTAATCTTGTACCATTCAAAAGACTTCAGTGAATATTTCAGAGGCAGAAACAGCTATAATTGTTTATATGCCTTTAAAAAATGTTTTATTAAGTAAATACAGGTAAGAAGACATTTCCACTAAGCAGTACTTAAGTTTACACAGCTCAACAAGTGGATTTAAATAAAGAATGGAGTAAACAACTTGTTTTGAAAACACTAATTTGAAAGCACTACCAGTTTAAATAAATCTGCAGAACATGCTTACTTCTAATATCTGAAAAATTCCCTAGTACCCCCAAAATCATCAGAGGGCTAACAGGCATTTGCTGGTCACAGAGAGAACGTGGTTTTTCCTGCTGACTTGTAAAGTCGATACTTGCAGACAACACAAGAGGGAGAGAGGAGCCAGCAACTCCTCACTACTCACAGGAACAGGACTGGGGAGCTCTTCTGGTGGAAGGATTGATATGTGTGATATCTAGAACTGAGCATGCTGGATGCTGGCCTTCCAAGCAGGCATCTACATCACCTAGGAACACCTGACACTCTTATGACAGCCCCTGAAGGGAAACAGCTCAAAGAACAGCAGCTGAGTGCTAGATGGTATCTGCATTTATAGCTATGATGATTTCTGGAACCCTCTGTCCTGTCTTCAAAATTAAACTTAACAGTAAGAGATGTCCTTACATGGAATATACAATCAAGTTAATAACAACTTGAATATATACTGAAATATCTTAAATTCTTAGCTCATCTAAATCAGTCCTCTATTCCCCCTTCCCCCTTAAGCATACTAGCAAATTTTAAAATCAGTGTTGCATGGTTTTTGACTAACTTTTTCTGCTCAGATTTGTAATTCAAATGTAACAATCTATATCTGATTAACTCACTTTAGATGTTACATGTAAAACTACAGTAAAGTAAAACCCATGAATGCCAGGAAATGTTTCCTGATGCCCAGGAGCATAATCAAGACAAGTTAATCACTTTAAACAGTAATCCAGACATGTTTTTTTGTCTCAGAACACTATCAGCTGTTGAGCACTGAGGGAAACTCCCTTTCTTCTCCCCTGTTTCTTATGCTCTTTACCAAAGCATCTGAAATTCTCCTGTTCCTAGTGGGGGAACAGAAATAGCCTTGTGCTTGGTGTGAATAAACAGAACCTGTTGCATGGCTCAGATGTAGGCTGGGTGACATTTTTCAGCCTCTTCAAGCACAAATATTCAAGAAAGCTCATAGGTTCAGTGGGCACCTCTGCCAAAATTAAGAAAAGACCACCTAAAGAGCATTCCTCTCAAACCTAATTAAACTATAACAGGAGGCAGGGAAACCATCACTTCCTACTCAGAGGGTTCCCAAACCAGGGACACTTATTCTTGCACAGCAGAGGAAAAACAAACTAGTATTGGATGCTTGCCAGAAGCAAACTGCACTACCCACACAAACATCTGAGGAAATGGGGCTCTGTTTCAATGCTCAGAAGGAGAGGTCCATCTACCAGAACCACAATCAGACCTGGGCTCTAAAATACACATCTTAATCTCACATGTGAAAGAGTTCTAGGAAGAGGTGTCTCACAAAGGACACAGAAGCTGCTCATTGTATTAAAAGAAAGTATTCAGGAAACTACTCCTTGGTACTTTTGCAGTCTTTCTACAGGGACCAAATCTTTGAAAACAGAAGACATTAACAAGTTATCCCTCAAATAACTCATCTTTCACTTAAAACTCAATTCCTACCTGAAGCCAAGGATGCTCTAAGGCCTCCTCTGTGGTAAGACGTTTGCTTGGATCCACTACTAACAGCTTCTTCACAAGATCCAGAGCTAAGATAATAAAATGAGCTGGTTGGCATGTGATCAATACATTCATTATCTGAAATATGCCTACACCAAAACTATGTGTGACAATGTGCTTTACAGAGCAATGCACTCAAGTGCAGATCACTTTTCTTTTTGCTATGCATGGGAAGGGCTGCAGACTGCAAGTATCTTTTTCCTTCACATGCACACAACTCAACACTTCTCAGTATACCAGAATTAGCCACAGACATATTTAGCATATACACAGTTTATGTTCTGAGCATGCACAGGAGGCTCAGCACTTTTCTAAAAGCTTCAGTATTACTGTGGAAAAGCAAAGACAGCTTAATTTATCCTGGTTTACAGTGTCTTGGAAAGTAGATTATCCATCTGGGAAAGTGGGAGAGAAGAGACAGGACATACACATGTATGCTCACCATAAACTTTCATTTTCTTAGGAAGCTGCTTAGTAGACACTGTGGAAAATATGGCATTTTTGTCCTATTTTATTATTCCAAATCTTCCATAAAGGAATTTCAGCAAGATTTACTTTTCATTTGATCAGATTATTCTGAATACATACCAGAAGGACTATGGAAATTATGCTAAGATTGTACATTCTCATGAATGTCTGACTTATTATTGAATAAGCTGTAAACTATTCAGGAAGGAGTTATATTGATAAGTTTATTAGACAAAGGATGACCATATCATTTATTAGAAACTCCTCTGCACATACAAAGAACTGTCCAAAGTAAATACTACAATTATTTTGTGCATATAAAATGTCCTGAGAAACTAAAAGCACACAGACAGTAATTATTTTAGTTTGCTATGAAAAAACTCAATTTCACAGACTACTGCACTTACAGTGGACCAAACATAATAGATGATTCCTCAAATGTGACTGACACTTTCAGCTCAAAGACTAGCACCATGAAAGGACTCTCTTGGAACGTTTGCTTTTTGGAATTCTAACTTGTATTCCTTAAATTCCTGGTATTTTTGGTTCAACACTTGAAGAATCTTTAGGCAAAGTCTGTAGACCAGCTTGATAAAGTCAGAAGAAAAAGTGAAAAGAGGGGAAATAGATGTATGTGCCCACAAACTCTATACTTTTGTGGTTAATTATGCTAAATACTACTAAGAAATCTCTTCAACAATGAAGTATGTGTTCATTCTAATGCTTTAACTATGAACTTCAAAAAATATTTTTAATATACTAGTTTAAAAACATAACATATTAACACATAATGTGCCATACAGCTGAAAGGAAGATAAAGGAAAACAAAAACTACAAGAAAAGAGGTAGATATTTTACTACCCACTGTGCTGGAGTCATACCCATGTATGATACATGCTTCCATTCTTTTGCAATGAAGGTGTATTTTCCACGAGTGATTTGATCCTTCAGAGAGAGCTGAGTATTTTGCTCATTGAATGGTGGATATCCACACAAGCTGTATTTAAAAAAAAAAAAAAAGTTACATAGCACAGAATTTGTCATAGCAAATAAAACACTGAAATCACAAATTTTAAGGCATCTGCTATCGTAGTGTTTTTATATGTGTAGAGTTTTAAACTTTCACTTCCTCATATAGACACTGAAGTTGCCAAGTCTCAAGCCATGTATGTCAAAGACTGCCCAGTGAAGGTACATCTACACAATATCTTACCATACAAAAAGAATAACTCCTAAACTCCAGCAGTCCACAGCTCGGCTGTATCCAGCAGTCCCAAGTGAATTTAGAACCTCAGGAGCAAGATACATGGGAGTACCACATAATGTTTTCATAAGAGAAGCTTCTCCAAGAATCTTGGATTGTCCAAAATCTGTAATCTTGTATTTAAAAATGGTAACACCACATTACATATGAGGATGGACTTTACTAGAACACAGCATATTGTAGACATACATCAGGAGGTAGCATTTTCTTCCTTCCAAGCCAGTTCCAGTACATGACTATGAATAGAAGTCACCCCAAACATTATCAAGTGAGAATGGGAGAAGAGGAAGAAATATGACAAAGGAACACGCTTAACAATAGCAAAAAATACTCTTAAGATTTGGACATAAATGGACAACTAGAGAATAAAGGTATTGTAGCCTATCAGAAAAGTTTACTTGAAAAATAAGCATTTCAGCATTCTTATTTTATGCTGAAATGCAAATATAGTCAATGCTTTCTCTGGGGGAAAATAAAAACAACATAAAAGAAAATCCACAACCCTCATTCCCCCTCAAAAAAAACCAAAAACCAAAACAACAGTAAAATCCCTGTCACCATACAGCCTGGACATTTGTGGGATGCTGTCTGTAATTTAAGAATTTAGATTTTACTAGGGAAAAAAATCATTGACATTTGAAAATACATATTTAGTGTATGGGTTGAAAGATCCATAATAGTAGAATTACGAAAAAAAAAAATTCTATATTTTACGTTACTTCATGGTTTTTTATGACTAATTCCATAATATCTTTTTGGCTGTGTTTAATGAAATATCAAGAAGAATGTGAAGGAACACTCCCAAAGTTTTCCATTAACATGAGATGTAAGTTTTCTTACCTTTACAAGACATATCTCTTCAGAAGATGAAAGTAGCACATTTTCTGGCTTTAGATCTCGGTGTATAATTCCATTGTCATGAAGATACTAAATACATACAGATGGGCAATTAAGGAAAAACAGGTCATTAACTTGTTTTAAAATGCAAGCTTTCCATTTTTTTTCATGGCAATGGCAGAATAACTGAAATGGCTGTGTAAGAGGAGGGCAAACATTTAAAGCTCCCTAACAAAAAAACAAAGCAAAGCAAAATGAAAACAAAACAAAAAACCCCACACCAAAACACCATCACAAAGAAACAAAAAAACCACCTTAGAAATCTTATGCTTCAAATGTCAAATCTCATGCAAGCACAGTGTGCAGACCCAGGTTCCGTGTCACCTCTGTAGGAATTCTGCTTTTCTGTCTCTCTTGTTAAACCAAATTGTTAAGAACACTGTGCTGATTGCTTGCATGGGTTTCAGCAATGACAAGTGACAGAAAAACTCATTGACTTTTTTTTTGTAGAATTCACAGTTATGTACCTTTACAGCTAGCAGCATCTGATAAAAGTACAACTTGCAGATTTCTTCTTTCATCTTGATTGGCCTTGACACTCTGTCATACAATTCTCCTCCTTCCATCCTAAAACAGATGCAGGTTAACAAGCCAGCATGTAACTTCCAAAAGATTCATCTCATAGACAAGACTAAGACCAAAACATTTGGCTACTCTGGCTACAGAGAAAGAATAGATGTCTGAAATGAGTGAGCAACATCCTAAACATAGAATATGCATGACTGAGTTAACGTCAGTCTCTTGACTCTTCATTGGGAGTTGTTACATCATTTTTGATCAGCCCCCTCTTACAAACTCAAAAATTAAAAATAAAAATAGCAGCAATCCACAACAGCAGCAGAGCAAATAATGTCCAGGCCCTGAGTGTCTACAAAGCATAGAAGGATGATTTCTCCTGGTTATCCTAGCTCCTAATCTTACAAAGGAAAGTGGAGGCCAGCAAAAGAAAAACAAAATTAAAAAAGCAAAACCCCCACAGTTTATTTTGGCTATGCAAAAAACATTTCATTTTATGCATTTACTTTCAAATAGGTTACTTACAGTTCCAAAACAATGTAGTAATCTTCTGCTTCAAAGAAATTTTTAATCTTGATTAAGCAAGGCTAACAGAAAAGGGAACACAGAGACACACAAAATAGAATAATTTGTAAAAATCAACCCTTAAGTTTTTATTTCAGTATTTCAAACCAGGTCACATAAAGTAACACTGAACACAAGTGACTTGCAAGCATCCCAGACCATACCCTCAACATTTTCTCTATTTTACATGCAGAGGAAAGAGGGGATACAAATTCATGAAATTGCCAGTGAAAACTATTATTTTGCAGCGTTTACAAAAACTTGCATAAAATAAAAATTTCTACAACAGCAGCTCAGTTAAGACCTCTGTGATGTTTCTTCTCAAATTTCTATCTCAGTTATCCAAAGCTTTAAAATCTCAAATCTGCTAGGATATAATACACTTAAAAGATGTAAAAAACAACTGTTCAATAATTTACAAGGGAAATTATATATCTCCTTTAACACATTTCTGAATGGATAAAATTGCTCTTTCATTACTACACTAAGTCCAGTAAACTAAACAAGTACATGCAGGAGGGAGCAAAAAATAAAAAATATGTACAGTGACACTCACGTGATCTATTTTCTTCAAAATTTCAATTTCTGTATTGATATTTAAAGCTGGGTTCTATTAAAAGAATCAAATACCATATTGGGTAAGACAGAGCTGTTCTGGAATAAGACATATGAGAAATAAGAGACAGTACCAGAAAAGACACAATTTCATGCCTTTTGCTACTGTAAGTGATGATAACATAAAATTTTTTTCCATAAAATGATCAGATACCTTCAGTGAATTAAATAAATAGACTGCTGTCACTATCTGGAGTAAGATACTGCTCCAGACATGTAATTTCATTACAGGTTAGAAATCCCCAACTAATTTCCAAGTTAAAAAAAGTCTATTTTTGCTTATATAGTTGTATTTAAGCAGCTTTTTTCTCTCCAAGATGCTTTGCAGATGGGCCAACGTAGAATTACATACTACTCTCTCCTATTTTGCAAGATAACATACAGAGATTCTCTAACCCGTGGCTTAGGCTCAGCTAATGAAATCAGCTCAGCAGGGATTTTTTTGCTCTTCTTCCAATCCAAATCAATCATCTTGGAACACACAACCCATACACAAGATTCCAGATATATTCCTGTGTGTGTTTTGTAGAATGGCATGTATTAGTAATTATAATTCACAACAGCATCTTGAGCCAGTTGTCTTTGTACTTGTTCAAATTCTGGCTTCTACCATTAGACCTTCCCAAAAGGCTTCATACAGTTTTCCCAAAATGTATTATGATGGAGCATTCAACAAAATTAGCTTAGTTGGTACATTTTTGGTCAAGACTGTGCTGCGTATGGTGTGTCTATCTGATGCATTTTAGGACATAAACCAAACCCTGCAAAACTCCACACCACCCCTTGTACACATCCCATTAACAGTCCTAAATGATGAACCTAATGGAATGTGGTCAAGGAATAAAAACAAGAATCCTATACATCATACATGACCAAAAAGCATTTTTAAATTAAACACTGAAGACATTAAGTAAGAAAATCCTCATATGAAGATAGCTGAGGAGTCAAAGAAGTTACCAGATATTCCAAGACTGCTACAAGGTGGCCAAGACAGACAGACAAAAATACTTACTTCATCACTCAGGCCACTTGCCACAAACTTCCGTTTATTGATGATTTTCACTGCAACCTTGTTACAGGTGCTCTTCTCAAATGCCAGCTTGACTTCTCCACAGGCACCACTAAAATAAGAGCACAGCTCTGTCAAAAATCTGAGTAACAAGTGCAGGCAAATGAAAGCATAATTTGGAGCTGGCTGCTTTCTAACTTTCTGAGTAAGGCACATTGCCTGTTCTGAGGAAGTATTCAACAGTTAGAAAGTCTACAGTACTTCTCAGAAAACATTCAAGAGTTAGAAAGTCTATTTAAACACAAGTGTTGCCAAGGGACATTCATTCAAAACTGCAAGAGTCAATATGCAAAGCAGTCGCTCTATTTGTACCAAAAGTACTGGCAGATAAGGATTTCCTTCATGCAAAGGCATTTAGAAGAAGAGAACTTAGGAAAAGTTCTCTTAACATTGGACTGTACAAGTCTGAGGAACAGATATGACAATACTTTTTTTTTTTACTAAATAGCACTTATATTACAGAAAGAAATTCTTCTGTTTTCCACTTGGATTTGTTTCTACTTAATTATTCACCTCCAGATTCGTCACTGACCAGCTGTTTCCAAAACAGAAAAAAATAGCTTCTCTCCCCTTTTTTCTGGATAGTTCTTTTCCTTTTCATCTGAAGGCCTCAATAGTGATATTGTAGGAAGCTGTATTCTGACAAAAAGCTCTTCCTTCTACTTTCAACAACTGAGTAAATTAATATACAAACTTTAAAAACACATTAAGAATTTAGAGACTTCATTCTCTTCTACAGAAAAAAAACCCAACCAAAACAAAACTTGGCTTTTGCAATTGGTGGTAAGTTGCAAACCCCAAAGCAAGTAGAGAGACAAAAACAAAATTCCTCTTCAAATTGTTGTAAAGAACATATTTATTCACATGTTATCGTTGTTTTTTTTTTCCTTTTTCCTATTAAAACAGCAGCTCAGTTAATACAGGTAATAATTCCAAGATACTGATAATGATAATGAAGTTAACCCTTTCTACTGAGGGAAGAAGGATGCTTACCTTCCCAAAGTCTTTGACATGATATATTTCTCTCTGAATTCTTTAGGAAACGTCATCTGATCATCCACAGTAAGATCAGAAAATACAAACACTGGGAAGGCAAGTGGAGATCATTTTCCTATTATTAGGTTTAAAATTTTTATTATAACAAACAGCTATGTTTTGTGAGTTTTTATAATCAACAATATAACTGAGAAAATACTGCCTGCTAGAGGAAAAACTAAATATATGCTATAAATTATACCAGCTATGGGTTGGCAAGGTGATCTTATTGCTGAAAAATTACATTTTGGGACTAAATTCACAACAGTCTTTAACTAATTAATTACATTTAAAGACAAAAGGAACAAAAATTTCAATGTCCCAGCAAAAATGAAAGAGAAGTAATAATCAAGAAGACAGCATCTTAGTGGAAAATCAAAGACAAAGAAACAGAAACACAACCGTGTTGATTTTTAAGAGGATTTTCTATTTATTATGCAGCATCTGGTTAGGTATCAAGGGGGTTTTATTCAACTTTTCTTGAATAGTCTGTTTCCCTTGTTCCCACCATCAATATGAACAGGTACTGAAGCCCAAAAGGGTTTCAAAAACAGGAAAACACCTATAAAAGTTTATACTCTAGTAAGTATATTTCTGATATAATGATGCATATTTCTTTAAGTCTTCTTTTTCAGATTTTTTTCAGGGTTGACATGGATAACTTTTATGTGAGTGCTAAAACACCTCTTAATGAGATGTGCTCACAAAGCAGCTCAGCTCCCAAGAAACATACTCAAATCAATGCAGAAACAACCTCTTGGTCAATACATGAAAAACCTACTAAAATTAAAGCACATTTTACCCTTATTGGTCTGTACAGACAATGCAATTTCAGAGTTGTGTGTCAGTGGAAGCCTCCTCCCTCTTCCAACGAGCTCTCTATTAACAAATGTCCCATTTGCACTGTGGTCTTCAATGTAGGCAACAAAGGAATTTTTTGGACCCATTTCCTCAAAGAGAAAAAAATGGGGAAGATGACAGTAAAGAACAAATGACTTTACAATAAAGACATGATACACTAGAAATTTACTATTGTTGACTCAAGAAATGAGACTGAGTTTATTTCATAAACCATATGAATGGGGCATTGCCAAAAGTCAGGTTAAAGGAGTCAACCCTGAAGATACTTTGATTTCTTTAGGATCTCTGCCCCAAAGTCTCGAGTGAACATTTTTAGCACTTACCCTGAAAATTCGGAAGTGCTTCTTGCTATAGTTTTGGTAGAAGCTAGTCTCAGACAATCCCAGCTTAGAAAAACTGTAATCACAGCTTCTGTCTCTCCCAAACCAGTATTCCTCATTCACACAGTCTGCAGAGGAGGGGAAGGTACAGCAGGGAGGGAAGACAATGTTGCAGGAAGTTAACAACGATGGCACTACAGGATGATTCCAAATGGTAATGAACAGTATAACAAAGACAAGATTCTTCCCATAGAATCAAGTCTGCCTTAACTCATACAAAGCATCACCCCTTGTCAAACCCTTTAATAATTTTACCCTCTTTAGTGTTGGTGAACACCTCTGATGGTGTTCTTCAGTTCACCATCAACCATATAGAGACATATAACTAAATAAAATATACATTGTTTTTAAATGAAGCGTGTAACAAAGAATATGAACGCCCCAGAATTTCTGTAAGTCTGTGGAAGCTGTGTACCCCAGAATTTCTGTAAGTCTATGGAAGCTGTGTATCTGAGAACTCAGTGTAAGCACTTGGATGTAGTATGGAATAAAACATTAGAGCAAAAAGTTCCATACCTAAATTTGCTTGTACCTAACTTGAAAATGAAAAGACACTGCTCTTCAGCAAGCTGCTCAGACCTTTTCTGAAATCCTACAAAGAAACCAAGAGATTTATTACAGCATGCACATACCACAATTGCTGAAACCTTTTCCAAGTGCAAAGAGTCGACCCCAAGGCTGAGGAACCAGCTCTTCACATTCCTGGTCCTCAGGGATGGATGGAAGCTCCTGAGTGGGAACAGTGTCCAAGGAACTGAGAGTTCCAGAACTTAAGGAAGACTGACTAGTGCTCTGTGACCCACTGGATGAACTGGTACCACTCTGTGGCTGCTGGGAACTCTGAGATTGCTGTGATTCACTTCCAGTCTCTTGAGACATGTTGGCTTCAAAGAGAATGTTAAAAAAAACCACAATTACTATAGCAAAGTAAAACTAGCAAACACTCACATACTGCACTATTAATGTCCAAGTCCATTCTCAGCCTCAAAGAAGTAAAACTTCCATCCAAAGCGTGCATGTCTGGGATATCCGTAAATTCCCAGGAACTGTGCAAACCAGGATGGTTTCCTTTTAAAAGACAACGTGGAGCGGCCTCTGCTGGTTCTAGAGAAGTAGAACGAACCCTCATTCCCGGATTGCTACCGGGGACTTCAGCGCTCCCATTGGGTCACACAGGCATGGGCTGTGCTCGGACAGCATCCCCGCACGGAGCAAGGGACCACGGCTGGTCCCCCAGCACAAAGAGAAAACTGAAAGGAATGAGAACTGTAAAATCATATAGGTTTTCTTTAAAGCGCCCGAGAGATTTATCACACTTGTACACAATAACTGCACAAAACCTTAACAGATTTAGACACCACAGCCAGCGGCAAGAAACAGCCGGGAAATCCATAGGCTGTGGTGCTTCCTTCTCCAATTAAATGCTGCCCCAGTCCTCCCTACAGCACAGCAGTCCAACCTTAGCACCTGTGTATCGGGTGTTTCGCTCCTTGCCATACAGTTCAATCTATGCTTTGCTACATTTCACTCCGAGCCATAAAGCCACGGCAGATCCAAGCTCCCTCCCCCGCCCCGTTTGTTACAGGTGTTGTTCCAGGGCTCCTCCCCAGGCAGGGCAGAACCACGGAAAAGACAGAGCCCATCGAGTCCGAGCGCTTCCCCAGCGCTGCCAATGCCACCTGTGGCCGTGTCCCCTGCGCCCACAGGGATGCTGACCCCACCTCCGACCTGTGGAGGAGCTTTCCCTCGTATCCAACCCGACCCTCAACGCTCAGACGGCGGGGCCGGGCCCCAGCGGCCCTGCCCGCCAGAGCACTGCCGCCCCGGACCGACACCGGCAGCAGCGGCCCCGCCGTGCCCATGAGCACTGCGGCCCGTGAAGCCGCGGGGAGCAGGCGGCGGCGGCGGGCCGGGGAGGAGGGCAGGGAAGGGAGCGGGGCAGGGCGGGAGCGGGACCCGAACTCACGGCTCTCGGGGCCGGCGGGGCTCGCGGGGCTGGCGCCGTCGGGCCGGGGCCGCCATGCGCGCGGGGCGCGCGCCCCGAGCGCAGCCAATGAGCGGGCGGCCCGCGCGGGGGCCGGCGGGAGCGCGGCGCGATGCGGGCGGCGCTGCGGGCGCGGCTGGGCTGGGCGCGCCGGGCGCTCCGCGGGGCCGCGCTGGGCCGCGCCCCGGGGCCGCCGTGCTGGAGCTGCGGCGCCGCGCTGCCCGGCGGCGATGGGCCGCCCCGCTTCTGCCCCGGCTGCCGGGCTTTGCAGCCGCCGGCGCCGCGGCCTGACCTCTTCCGCCTGATGGACTGGTGAGTGTGGGCGGGGCGGCCGCGAGCCCGGCCGGCCGCGGCTCTCACCCGCCCTGTGTCCTGCAGCGACCGCTCCTTCCGCATCGACCCGGAGCAGCTGCAGCGGCGGTTCCGGAGCCTGCAGCGCGCCGTGCACCCCGACCGCTTCGGCCAGAGGCCGCCGGTGAGCGCCGGGCCGGGCGGGGAGCCGGGCCGGGAGGGGCTCGGTGACCGCCGGAGGAACTCGCCCTTGGCCTTCGGTGCGCGGCGGGGCCGCAGAGCCGGGTCCCCGCCTCTCCCGCTCGGGGAGTGAGGGGGCTCGCGTGTGTTTGTCTTTCGGTGCTCAGAAGAACTCTGCCCTGCCGTGCATTAGCGGACGATGAGGAGCCGCTGCGGTTGTCAGGCCTTAGCTGAGCGCTGTGCCGCAGGTCCCAGGTCCAGAGTCACACGGACTGGTGTGGGGACGCTGGCGTTCCGCATCTAACAAAGTGTATTTTGCCACTTGTTCTTAGCTTCCAATTATTTGCCGTCCATTTGCAGAAAGAGCAGTACTACTCTGAGCAGCACTCTTCCCTGATCAACAAGGCCTACAAGACCCTGCTGAACCCTCTGAGCCGAGGCCTCTATCTAGTAAGGTCTCCCGTAGCTATTGCAATGTTCCTGTAACTAACCCTGGGCGCTGGTAGGGATGGCACCCTCGATTCGGTCCTTAATTTGCATTCAGTCCTTCAATTTTCTCATTTGCATTGCTCTGAAGAGGATCACCAGAGATTGAAGGGAGACCAGAACCAAGTTTGTCTAAATTTTAATCAGCGTATCATCTAATTTGCTACTCACCTTACAGTTATTTGTCTTTCACATCACACGTGGTGATGTTAATTTATCTTTAACATTACACGTGGTGTCTGGCCATGGCTGCACATTCAGAATTTCAGTCTGGCCCATGGCAGCCTTTTTTATGGTTTTTTTTTGGCTTTGGGTAACTGCTGATTTTTATGGTCAACTTATGTTTGGAGTTGATTTTCAGATTGACTCTATGCACTGTAGGTTTATCGAATATGAATTTGAGTATGCCCCACTAAGAGACTTAATATTAAAGAAAATAATTCCCATTGAAATAGATGTGGGAATAATTATTTTCAAATTCCCATTTCTTCTGCCAGCTGGAGCTGAGTGGAGTGGAGCCAGCACAAGAGACAGACTGTGATGGAGACTCAGCGTTCCTTATGGAAATCATGGAAATTAATGAGAAATTAGCAGAGCCCAAAAACAAGGATAACCTTGAAGAAGTTGAAAATGTAATTAAAGGTAGGTTATGACTTGGGGAGTTTGTACGGAACTAATATACTGCATCTTATGGAATACAAAAGTCTGAAAAATTTTAACTGTTTTGGTATACTTCTTGTAATGTCTTCAATTTGTGTTAGTCTGGAATTGACTCATTGCAAGAGCTTCTGCCCTGTTCCCCTTTTTCCAGTGTTGTCGTTATCTATTTATGCACCTAAACATCACATCTGTCTTGAGAACATTTGTATAACAGAACTATTCTGATGTCAAAATAAATATATATAAACAATAAAAAGGAATTTACTAAACCTTCATCGGGTTAGTCAGTTGTTCCAAATAAAAAAATCTATCAGAATGAAGTTGAATAAAATGCTTGTCTAACCACACTAAATAATGTTATTTATAAAGGCATTGTAGTTCTTTCACCTTCTTCATCTGGCAGCCATTATATTAAGTGGTTATTCTCCTTACACAAGCAACTTTTTGTATATATTGTTGGTGATACCAAAAACATTTGGTTTACTGATACATTTAATTCTTTGCCATAACAGCTATGTGCTAAAAGCAACTACAATAACTAGAATAAAAACTGAGTAAGACAGGAGAAAATTAACTGTAGCAGGGCAAACTGATAGACCAAAAATAACTTGGATTTCTGAGAAATTAGTGACCATTGATGTGCATTGGAGTTGCTGTCAGTATACCTGTTTAAATAAGGAAATACATGTTTGAAATTATAATTAAAACATTGACAGCAGTATAATGAAAAACTTGTTTGGCTGCCAAAGGCTGAAACTAGTAATGAACTTTCTCACCACAGGCAGTCAGAATACAGTGGTATCAAATACCCTAAGTATAAAAAAAAAAGTAAATTAAATCATTTGTCTTACAGTTAAACAAGAAGAATTGACCAGAGAGGTGACTGCAGCTTTTGAAAGAGGTACCTGATTTTATGAAGTTTTTAGCTGCCATACATAACTGTCAAATGCTTAAAGCTCTACAATCTCTTACTGGCAAATATTTCCTGAGCTATGGAATAGAAACGCTGCATTAACAAGGGTTCTTTGTTAGGTATTTAGAATAAGTACTTCTAAACTGACATTCCTGCTGATTTGGGAAATTCAGGAGCTCACATTAAAAGCAAAGTCCAGTACAAAAGTTTAATTCATCTTGCATCTAAACAATCATTTTGGATGGGAATGTAGATGCTAAAAAATTGTTTGTGCGTCTCCCAGAATACTGGGAAGGACAGACTTCATCCTAGACATATTCTGAGGTTTCACACTTGAATTTGGGAGATGTTGTTCTGCAGTTCTGGAGCTGCAGTAGAGCAGTGAGTGTTGTTCTTTGCAGTGGAAGCCAAAGCAGCTGTGTGGCAAGTAAAGGCCTGTTCAGCATAAGGATTTGGGAACTTCCTGTGCAATAACATAACTTTATTCTACAGCCAATGGATGGGCACAAGCTTGAATCATTCCCAAGCTTCTGAAGCTGGGAAGAAACCTTTGTGGTTCTGTGCCAGGTCCAGAATGCTGCACTTTTGCCAGGGGTGAATAAACATCACAGCGCTGCTGGCTGGGCCTGCCTGTGAGGAGTTATGTCCTGTTACTCTGTGCCATGAGAAGGGCTGTGTTACTTTTGTCTGTAGGTCATAAACCACCCTCACCTTTAACTGAGGAGAAATTGTTTCAATATCAGTTTTGGACTTGGTACTGTCCAGACCAGCCTCCTCCTCATTTGCATGTTTCAGTTATGTCAGTTGGTCTATTTATATACCTTTTAAATAAAAACATTTGTCTTGCCAAGGATAGATCAGTACTGCAGCCACTTTACAGGAGTCATTAAAGGGTATTCATTCACAGTTCTTTTCCAAAATGTTTATTGTTATGTGTTTTGTGAAGCAGTTGAGTTGAGATGTTCCTAAACCATCTGAGGTTAAAATAATAGGCAGCATGGTTTTAATAATGTCTGAGTCCTTGCAGGTGACAACTCTTGTTACTAAAACAGGTGCTGTCCCTGAAATATTAATTTTGAAAATGCAAATTCACCTCTCCCTCTGTAAACCAGTAATGTTTTATTTCATTTCAGATGATCTTCAAGAAGCCAAGAAGCTGCTAGCAAAAATGAAGTATTTTGCAAACTTAGAGGATAAACTAAAGGCTAAGAAGATCCCTTCCTAATGTTGCCTTTTTAGCTATTAAGAGTTAGTGTTATTTTCAATTAAACTGATGGTTTTGTTACCAAAATCAGACCAAGGGTGTTTGTTTCCTGTACTTCCATTAATTCTGAGAGGAGGAAAATAAATATAAAAGAAATCCCATGCTTGCTGCAGCACTTGAGAAACAGATGGCATTTGGAAATGCTTACAGCCAGGAGAAGTTGTACTAGGTAAGAAGGGCCACTGTGCTGGCAGTGGCAGGTATGGAAACAAATATCAGAGGCACACAAACAACAGATGTGAAATTTCTTACTCCCTAACATGA